TTAGCTACCGGTTTTCTCTCATATACTGGTCCATTCAATCAAGAATTTCGTACAATACTCATTAAACAATGGCGTACAGATATGACGAAACGTAAAGTTCCATTTTCTGAAGTAAACTATTTCATATCTCCATGATTTAAAATACAAAACGAATTCTGTTTTTTCTTCTTCTCTTTAGGATTTAAATATTGTTTCGTTTCTTGTTGACAATGCAACAATTAGTGAATGGAATCTTCAAGGTCTTCCCAATGATGAATTATCTATTCAAAATGGTTTAATTGTAACATCAGCAGCTCGTTTTCCACTTTTAATTGATCCTCAAGGTCAAGGCAAAGCATGGATTCGACAAAAAGAAATAGCAAACGAATTACAAATTACTACACTCAATCATAAATATTTTCGAACACATTTAGAAGATGCATTATCACTTGGTAGACCATTAATGATTGAAGATGTTGGCGACGAACTTGATCCAGCATTAGATAATGTTTTAGAAAAGAATTTTATGAAATCTGGTTCTACACTTAAAGTTAAAGTTGGTGACAAAGAATGTGATGTTTTACAAGGCTTTAGATTATATATAACAACTAAATTAGCTAATCCATCGTATACACCTGAAATCTATGCTAAAACATCAATTATTGATTTTACTGTAACAATGAAAGGTTTAGAAGATCAATTGTTAGGCATTGTTATTCAGAAAGAAAAAGCGGTAAGAATATCTTAATAGATATCGAGTCTACTAAATACAAAATTATTTTTGTAGTATAAAAGTTTGAATGATGATTATGGTTGTTTTGTTTTGTTTTATTTAGGAACTCGAAGCTGAACGTGTACGCTTACTCGAAGAGGTTACATCGAATAAACGTCGTACAAAAGAATTAGAAGACAATTTACTCTTTCGTTTAACATCAACAGAAGGTAAACGACAGTTTTCTTTTTTTCTCCCATACTTACAAAATAATCATTTTTATTTCTTAATATAGGATCACTGGTTGAAGATGAATCTCTTATTCAAGTATTGGCTGATACAAAAGCAACATCAAAAGAAGTCAACGAGAAGCTTACCATTGCTGCTGAAACTGAAATTAAAATTAATGCAGCTCGTGAAGAATTTCGTCCTGTAGCAACACGTGGTTCTATCGTGTACTTTCTTATCGTCGAAATGTCTATGGTCAATGTAATGTATCAAACATCGTTGAAACAATTCTTAGGTCTATTCGAAATTGGCCGGTAATTAATTTTTAGTTTTTTCAGTTGAACAAAAAACAAATGTATTTTTTTGTTTAGACAAAAAGCACAACCATCACCCATAACAGTTAAACGTATTCAAAATATCATTGAATCGTTGACATATGAAGTATGGAAGTATTCATCGCGTGGCTTGTATGAACGGGATAAAAATTTGTTTACACTCTTGTTAGCACTTAAAATTGATATGCAAAAAGGAAATGTAAAATCATCTGAATTTCAAGTATTAATTAAAGGTGGTGCTGCATTAGATATGAATGCTGTTGAACCACGACCTGATAAAATGAAGAAATGGTTAACTGATATGACATGGTTGAATTTAGTTGAACTTTCAAAATTAGCACATTTTTCACAAGTATTAAGACAAGTTGTTAGTAATGATAAAGTATGGTACAATTGGTTTCTATCTGATGCACCTGAAGAAGTTACTTTCCCAGAATCCTATTCAACTAGTTTGGATACATTCAAAAAACTATTATTAGTTCGCTCATTCTCACCTGATCGTACATTACCTATGGCAAAGAAATACATTGGAGAATCATTAGGTTTTCAATATGCTGAAGGTTATATTCTAAGTTTAGAAGCTATGTGGCAAGAATCTGACAAACGAACACCACTTGTTTGCTTTCTATCAATGGGTTCTGATCCAACAGATAACATTTTAAGTTTATCTAAGAAACAAAATATTCCTTGTGGTACAATTTCTATGGGTCAAGGACAAGAAGTACATGCTCGACGCCTTCTTCAACAAAGTCAACAAGAAGGCCGATGGATATTATTACAAAATTGCCATTTAGGTTTAGGTTTTCTTGAAGAAATGTTAGACACCGTATTACAAACTGAACAAGTACATGACGCTTTCCGCTGTTGGTTAACAACTGAACCACATCCTCAATTCTCCATCAACGTATTACAATCATCTATTAAATATACATTTGAACCACCACAAGGTGTTAAAGCTGGTTTGAAACGTACATTTGGTGGTCTTACACAGGTCAATAGTATTTTTTTTTCGTTATTTTTATTAAATCAACTTTTTGTCTTGTTATTCTTTTTGTAGGAAGTTGTCGATGCCAGTACCTTTGTTGAATGGAAAATTATGTTATATGGTGTTGCTTTTCTTCATACAACTGTTCAAGAGCGTCGTAAATTTGGTCCACTTGGATGTATATTGAAAATTCACTCTAATTTCTAGAATTTTCTTAACATAATTCAAAATTTTCTTTCTAGGGAACATTCCATATGAATTTAATCAATCAGATTTTTCAGCTACGATTCAATTTATTCAAAATCATATGGATGAAATGGGTTCGAAATGGAATGTATCATGGCCTACGGTTCGATATATGATTGGCGAAGGTAAATATATTTGTTATTTCTAATCTTTTGTTTTCTTATATTTCTTTCTTTTGTCTTAGTTCATTATGGTGGCCGTGTAACTGATGATTTTGATAAACGCTTATTAAATACTTACACGCGTGTATGGTTTCTTGATAATATGTTTACTGATAAATTTGATTTTGCACCTAATTATAAAATTCCACGCTGTAAAACAATTCAAGATTTCCGTACACATGTTGAATCAATGAGTTTATTCGATAGTCCAAATGTATTTGGTCTTCATCCAAATGCTGATATAACCTATCAAACAAATACAGCTGATTCAATTTTAGCTACAATTGTTAATATTCAACCAAAAGATGCTGGTGCTGGTGGTGGTGAAACACGTGAATCAGTAGTCTATCGACAATGTGATGATATGTTAAGTAAATTACCTGAAGATTATATTCCACATGAAGTTCGTGCCGCTCTACAAAAACAAGGTACACTACAACCGCTGAATATATTTTTAAAACAAGAAGTTGATCGTATGCAACGTGTTATAACAGTTGTACGTAATACATTGAAAGATTTGAAATTAGCTATTGACGGTACAATTATTATGAATGAAAATTTGAAAGACGCTCTTGATAATATATTTGATGCACGTGTACCTGCAACATGGAGAAAAGTATCATGGGATTCTGCTACATTAGGTTTTTGGTTTAGTGATTTATTAGATCGAAATCAACAATTTTTCACATGGGTATTTAGTGGTAGACCTCATGTATTTTGGCTTACGGGATTTTTTAATCCACAAGTACGTTTCAAATATTTGTATTGTTGATTATCAAATGAAAATTGTATTATTTAGGGTTTTCTCACTGCTATGCGTCAAGAAATAACACGTAATCATAAGGGTTGGTCATTAGATAATGTCGTTCTTGCCAATGACGTATTGAAAATGGTAACAAAAGAAGAAGTAACACAACCACCAAGTGAAGGTGTTTTCGTCTATGGATTGAAAATTGATGGCGCTGCATGGCGTATGTCTCGTGAAAAAGGTGGACATTTATCAGATCCACCTCCGAAACAACTGTATTCAGATTTACCAGTAGTACATGTAAGTTCTTTTCAAAAAGCAAAAATACACAAAATGCTTTTATTTGTTTTCTTTGCTATGTATAGGTTTATGCTACAAATGAACCAAAAGCATTGGGTAATGCTTACTATACTTGTCCAGTATACAAGAAACCACGACGTACTGATTTAACTTTCATATTTACGTTATCGTTAAAGATCAATAATAACAATCCAGACTATTGGTAAAGATTTGTTTATTTTTTTGTTATTTTATAATATTCGTATTCTAAAATTGCTTTTTATTTTAGGTGTTTACGTGGCGTTGCACTTCTTTGCGATACAAAATAAATAACAGCAGCCGAAATTAAAAAAGCATTTTGAGATATTTTATTCTCCTTTTTACCTTGTCAAGCAATAGTGAGTTTTATTCATTAATAAAATATTTCTACCCGAAGTTTGTGTGTGTACTATATTTATATTTTTTTGTGTTAAAACATGAATAAAAATTTTAAAAAGTATGATGTTTAAGAGGCATTATACTTTGGATTAAAATTTTAAGATTTAATCTAACTAGAGAGAGAGAGAGAGATAATTGAGCTTTTGTAATTTTCATATCAAATATTTCTCAGTTGATGCTATAGACTATTGAATGCAATGTTTGGCAAGTATGTGTAAAACTCAATCAAGAGAGTTTGAGTAAGATAATATAAATGTATCGGAGATGACTCTATAACACAGAGACTTGGAACTAATGCAATTCTTTCATTTTTATCGTTTTTCATGCTTCAAAATGATTTCTCGAAAATTCTCAGTTCATTAGAATATCGAACTGTTAATTCTGAGATCATGCTTGTTCATCGTATGGTGAAAATTTCACATGATGCTGTATGCTTTTATTAAGCTGAAAGAAACGTATTGCTACAGCCTGATTGAACGTGCTAGATCTTTAACGGTAACGTTAAATAAGCAAAATCGAAGTAGATAATCTGCTTTTGATTTAAAGAAAACAAATGGGCTGCTGTGAAGTTTGATAAAACAAGGCAAGATTTCATTTCTAGAAATCGAATCAATTATTTAAAACTCATTGTAGTACAGAAAAAAAAATAAGTAAAACTATATGAGAGCAAAGAAGGCTCAAATACAAAAACGGCAACAGAACAATATGACATTGTATTAGGAACATTTAAATAAAATAATTACTTTCAAATAATCACGATTAATTATTGTTCTTCAAAAATGAATCATAGTTAACTACAAAAATGAAAATATGTGAACTACTTTTGAAAAAGAAAAAAGAAAACCGTTTTTCTTTCATATTTTTCTTATTCTTAATTATCATCTAATTGTTATTGATTTTCATAAGTTTTTGGCAATGGTACAAATGAATGACGATTAGGCTGTTGTGATTTAGATGTTTTTGCATATATCGTCGATGTACTCCTAGCTTTTGCTTGATTATTATTATTAAATCCCCCTTCGAACGAGTTATGCAACGGTTGATTAACATCAGCGTATCTATTTTCCTCCATTGAACGATCACTTCTACTGCGCACTAATTTATGTTTTGTAGATTCGTTTGAATCATCTTTAACGATTGGTTCTTGCCATCGCACACCAACTCTTTTCAAAACTCCATCACTACTTAATTTTGTTTCTTGTTTCCAAGCTTCTAGTTTTAATATTGCGCTATGTAATTCAATACGATGGCGCAATAATTCCAGAAGTGCCACTCTATAATTTTTTGTTGTATGAATCTAGAGAGAAATGAATTCTTAACAATAGAATAATTCATTTATTAATAAACAAACCAGAAGATAATCATGAAGAGTATGTTTTGTAATTTTTTCAAATTCATTTTTGATTTTAGCCGTATCGATTTCACAACGCGAAACTATTATACGATTTAGATTATCATTATTAGTAGCGGTACCCTATAAGATGGAAAAAGAATATTCTCTATAAAAGCAACTCTTGAAAATAATTTTACTTTAAAACTTTTTTTTAGTTCAAAAGCGAAAAATCTGGGCCGATTTCGAATAATACGAACTGAAAATAAATCAAATGTAAATCATTTCATTTAAATGAATTTTTTTGTTTTTTTTAGATACCAATGGCCATAAGAATACGAGTAAGATCGCCTTCAGTGTGCATTTGTATAGCTTGTTCAATATCAATTTTAGCGAATTGTTGATAAGCTGCGAAAATTTTTTCCAATTGTTTGTTACTTTAATAAATAAAATTCCAACGAATGAATAGGTAAAAAAAACACCGAGTTCTTTTATTCGAACTACAAAACACAAACAAACCTTCGATTGCATAGAAGCGCAATAAATGGTGATTGACTTCGTTTCCATGCTGTTCCTGTTTCACTTAACTCCCGAGCATCTTTTAATACGGCATCGTCATCAATATAATTATGTTCCGGACGATCCACTAGCATCATTGAGAGAAATAGTTTCTTTGCAGGTGTATCTCGATCGGTAATTAAATCTTGTTCAAGTGTATTTTTGAATACTAGAAAATATAGATTTAAAAAGTTGAATGCGTTTCAGAATTCAAAAAAGAAAAATAACCAATCTTCATGTACATTTTTTATAGCGATTTCGCACTGTTTGAATATGTTGACTTGGTCGACTAAATAATATTTCTGCAAGAATACTTTCATCCATCATTGCTGTTTTTAATATTCGTCTTAGTTCAAAACAATCGCGATCAACAGCTGATAATAATAATATTCTTAAAAGTCTACTTAATGCATCATCTTTTATGTGTTCAAGAGCATCGCCAAGATTCTAGAAAGCAACAAACGTAAAACAAAAACAGAAGATTTCTAAAAAGAACGCCATATTTTAAGCACATACTTGATTAAAAAGTTGTTTATATCTATCTCGAATTTCTAAACGTTGATCAACACTTCGATTACAAAGTATGTTTATAATAGGTACTTCTTCTATATGAGAATTAGTTAATAATATGTATAAGTGATTACAATCTAAATAAACACAAAAAATATAAAGTTTAGTTTTTACTATTAATTTTTCGAACCTTGATCAACATTGAAATCAGCAAATCTTGTGAGTGTACCTTCCTCCTTTAAGTAAATAGATTAATTAAGATTATTTTTTAATATATATATATATATATGTATATTCAATACCAATGATTCTTCGTTTTGAATCATCGATGAATCATGTGGAATTTCTTGATGATTTGATTTACTTTCAGTGATTGTTGGTAACAACTGCGGTGGTGGTAGTAATGCAATTTTTTGTTCATTATTTTCAGTTTTTGATTCGTTCCATGACAATCGATATGGTACTTTAAGACTAGGCGAATTAATTGATGGTAATGATGAAGTAAGCTCATGAATAGTTGATCGTTTCTTATAATATTGGTCTGATTTTTGTGTTGAATGATGATTAAGTTGTGCTTTATACATTTCAATTTTCTGTTTAAACTCCGCTCGATCACGTAAAGCTTCTTCGAGGTTTCGTTCACGTTCTCGTAATATTTGTTGAATCGTTTCTAATTTTCGTTTAACATTTGTTCCGTAATCTTTTTTTTCAACTGCTATTCGTCGTTCTAATTCATTTATTTTCAAAGTCATTTCGTTCACATTTGCTTGCGTAGTCTCTATTTGTAGCTTAGTGTCGTTGTTCTCCCGTAGGTGTTGTTCTAATTTAGCACGATGCTCTTTTGTTACATTTGATGTTGAAGCCGATTTACACATTTCAAAATGATATAATTCATATTCACTGTTTCGATGTAATTCTTCTCGGTAAACATCAAGTTTTTTTTCATATTCGCTACGTATACGTTGAACTTCATCATTTAATTGATCAGTGAAATGCAGCCATGCTTGTTTACATCCGATTTCTGTTACATTGATTGACTTTTGAAGGTCATCAAGCGCTGTTAAATGAACATCTTCTTTGGCTATTTTTTCCGTTGCTAATACTTCTCTTTCCATATGTAATGTATGTTGAGCAAACATTTCTTCGTCGAGTTCATAACGTAAACGAACTTTTCGATCTTGTAATGTTTGATTTTTTAATAAATAAAATTTATTTTCCTCATCAAAGTGATGTAGTCGACGTTGAAGAAATTGACATTCAGCATTATTTTGTGCTATTTTACGTTCATACTCAAATAATTCTTGGCCATACTTATTTCGTTTTGATAATAATTGTTCATATTGACTGTCGCTAGCTTTTGTTACTTTAGTTGCTTCATGGCATTTTTTTTCTACAGTAGATTTTTGCTCTAAAGCTTCACGAATTATAGCTTTTGCACTTTCAATTTCTGTTTTATACATTTTTTCAACAATTGAACCATTTTCGTGACGATGTTTTTCAAACCATTGTATCAATAGTTCTAGAAAATGATTATTTGATAATAAACTAGAATGTCGTAATATTGTATTGCCAAGTATTTCAGTTACTTGCGATAATTCACGTTGTTCATCAATAATACGCTCACCGTTAATACTATGCAATGGTGATATAGTTGAAAATGTTGAATTTTGTACGAGCGATGCAAGACCATGAGTTTTTGCAGCCACTGGATAATTTGATCCATTCTTTGGCCAACCTACTTTGCGTAATGCTCCTTGGGGATCGTTTGAAGTACTCGGTTTAATAACGCGTGGTATAATATATTTAATAATTGTTTTTGAATCATGTGGTGGTGCCGATGTGATTCTATCATATTCATGTGGTTTATACATTGTATCAACAAGTTTTACTTTTGTATTCGTCGCCATTTGTAGTGAAATAAACGTAACTCTTTTTTACACCACCTCAAACACGGTGTTATCAATAGACTGATAACAGGATAACCTTTTTCGGTCTCCCGTTATATTTGTACACAGCTACAAAAAGTACTATTTTGGCTGTTTATGTTGATTTATCTGTTCTTCTTTCGTGCAGCCACTACCTTGAGTTGTTATGTAGTTTGCGGTTAAATTATTTGCATTCCTACTCGAATTGTAAAAAACAGTGCTTCTATTTGGTGAACATAACATTGAAGAAGGATCAAAAACGTCGTTTTTATATTTGAAACTTTTTTAAAATAGAATTATTATCTATCTAGCCTTGATCATTTTCTTATGTGATTTATTATCGAAAGGGATGCATGTCGGAATTAATTTATAAAGCATTTTAAACTAATACTGAAAAAAGAATCATCATTATCATTAGACGTATCTTTATTCACCAATATCATGTATTGCAGAACATACATAGGCATAATCTTTTGAAATAAAACAATAGATAAGGTAAGTTCTTAGTAGGAAGCAAATATACATCAATAATAATAAAAAATTCTAAAATTCCAAATAAATAAAATAGAGTTACCTAAAACATATCTTACAAAATATATTATGCAAGCGTGTTTCTATTATTCCAAAACAGTTTATCTGATTATCATTTTTGTACGCTAGTTATCAAGTTAAAATGAAAAGAAAAAAGAAAGTTCAAAAGTAAACTAAATTGCAAGCAACGTAGTTTATTGCTATTCGATGGTGTGCTGACAGTCGTAATTGAATTAATAGTTGTAGTCAAATTAAATGTTTGACTGGAATTAGATGTTGTTGTAGAATTAACAAAAAAACATTTGTTTCCTACTGTACAAGTAACATTCAAACCAACGTATTCGCCAAAAACGCTAACTTGTACGGCAGATACAATATCACAATTGGGATACACTCCAGTTGAGCTGGTGATGGTCATGTTTTTATCGAGTACTAAGATCTGATCTATGTTAGACGAATACGTATTGAGACCATATTAAATTAACATTACCGTTCGGTTGACGTTTTGTAATCATATTTGTCCAATATCGACGAACAGTTGTTGCTAAAGGTAGTTCGTCGGACTTAAAAATAATATTTCCACAGAGTGAAGCAGTTAATGTTTGAAATAAACTAAATAGTTCAGCTGAATGATATGCACCTGGCCACATAATTAAATTAGGTGTTGTCAACCAAACATATTCTGGTGCATGATTGTATGTATACAAATATGTCGGTTGTCTAGACATGTATCCAGCCGTACGACGACTACTACAGATATGCATCTCTTGAGATAATAATGCCACAAATGCTTGTGAATAATTCCCACTGAATTGATTTGGAGTATATATATATAGTGCTTGAATTTCGGAATGATTATACGTCATAATTGGTAAAATGGGATTTAAATAATCTACAGTACTGATTGGTGGATGATAATAATCTTCGTAGAGAGTACGCAAGACAAACTCATCATGATTGACTCCTATTGATATGGGTACTTGATTAACTGTTCATAATAGAAATGCTTGCAGTGGATGAATTGGTATTTCGAATTCATCAACAATTAAATAAAGCGGAATAGTTTGACTAACTTTTTCTTGATCTCTAAATGCCAATTATGCCGATATTGGAATAGCAACATTTCCGATAGAATTGACCAGTAAAGTACCATTGATAGCACGGAGACACGCTAGTTGTTAAACTGTACTATTCATATTACATCCAACAAGTGATGCAAGATTCTGTGTTGTTGAATAAGCAAATGATTTGTCACGCAAATAGATAAGAGTATCACACGATCCATTGTCTAGTATACCAGCATGAAATAAACTAGCTGATAATGGGGATACTATATGAATGCAAACTGGACGAGAACCAGCTGATTGACCCATCAGAGTAACTGAATTTTTATCGCCTCCAAACTGTGCAATATTATCACGAATCTATGTCATTGTCATACGTTGATCAGTAATGCCTTGATTGCCTATAGTCTGACCGCTCTCATCTAACAAAACCAATTGAGAAAAAAATCCCATTAGGTTTAATCGATATTGAATGCTGACCATGATGAAGGAGTTTTTTTTCATTTATAGCAGCATTCGTCCAACTAAGTCCATCATAGATTACTTGTGTTGCACTTCCTTCTATGAATGCTCCACCATGAATCCATAACATTACAGGGTAACCTGCTGACGAAGTCGATGGCTTTGTAGGTGCCCAAACATTTAGATGCAAGCAATCCTCATCAGTTGGGCCTAAAATCAATCCTTCACGATTAATTTGTAGGCATGATGGACTATAGTTAGTGGCATTTTGTATTGTGCCGTGTTGACTATCTGTCATAACATATGGTTGAGCCTTTAGCCATCGAAATGCATCAATAGGTGGAGTTGCATAAGGAATTACAATCCAAACATTTGTCTGGCGAATAGTAAAACCGGCAAATTGACCAGATGTTGTAGAGACAACAGGGGAAGCAATAGATTCATTAGCAAATAAATAGAGATTACCGTTTAATCCAATGGCAACTTTTAAGAATGAAATATATAATATTCAAAAACGAAACATAGTATCTAAACATTTGGCAGACGCAATTGTAGAGATGTGAATAACAACAACTATTTCAAAGGAAAGAAATATAGTAAAAGAAAATGTCGATAACGTGATTGCGACAATTAAGACTAAACTTTGATAAACATTTCGACGTTTAGGGTGGAGAAAAAGATTCGCTTGGATAATTAAATGTATGGGACGCTAAGTAAAACGTATTAAAATATGTTTACCGATGTAAATAGTATACATATATGCACTGATTTCGATATATATTCAAGGTTAGTGCGTACAAAAGAAAAATAAACGATCTCTACAAATGTTTTATAGTTGAATCTGTAGGTGTTGTGTATAGCATACGACAATATTCACTCAATCCAACCAAATCATTCATAGATGATAGTAAACATATTGAAATAAATTATTGTACACATTAATGCATCCGCACTTACTTTTACTCGGACGTCTGCACTCTATTACATAAAAACTATTAAAATATGTATAATTGATAGAGACACATTGTACACCAACATAATTGACAGTTGTTAATGATCATCTCATTATAATCACGTTCCTGTCGACTGATACGCTATATAGCATTGTTTTCTATTGATTCGTATGAAATATCTGATTGCTATTATGTAACATGAAAGCTTCACTGTTCTGAACAGTCATTGTCTCGAATCGTGCACATCAGTATGATAGTTTACATGTTTTTTGTGTACTCAAAAAGTGCGTACACTAGAATCGGCCAGTGTGTCCGGCCGTAGACACGATAAATTTCGAAAGGAGAGTCAGACCGTGATGAAATTTTCCACACAGTTCAATCTCATGAATATCTCGGTCGAGTTCGAAGATGAGAAGGATCCCTCAAGAAATGGTTGAATTATCGAAAACATTGCCATTTTTGACCAGATCATCCCTGGGGAGGGGTACAGGGATTTTTTTTTCAGAATTATCCGCAACATATATAAATCAACTCAGTTTTTAACGCTGATTCCGAATCTGATATTAGTTTTGAACTAAATCGTAGCTGTCTAACGAAACATCGCCTGAAAAACGTCTCAAAATGCACAAAAACTCCATCCAGAAATCAAATTGTCTAGTTTCTCATGATAATTTTGGTGTTCAGACATTCTAGAATGACTCATATGTCCCATGCGATTTTTGCAGTACACATAACTCTCGGATGAAATCCGAAGTTTCCACGTTTATTTATATTACTATTGGTTAGCTAATAAACATGCTCATCATTCAACATAAATGATATATATATATATATATAATTCTTTTATTATCTGATAGATAGATATACAATTGAAAAATATTCTTGGCATTTTTCTTATTAATATCAGAAAATTCAAGCAGAGTTTTTGTGATCTTCATCATAAAAATTAGTATCATTAGCAATTGAATTAGTTGTTTTTGATAATTAATATCTATGATGTTATTTATTTTATCTAATCAATCAAACATTAGTTTCATTTTGTTATAAATATTTAGTTGAATTTTTTCGATCTTCTTTTTCTTCTTTCTGTATCAACAAATCTGAAAACAAAAACAACAAACCATTCGAGTAAACCCGAATAAAAGTGTTAACAAACAAAAGGATTTTTTTTAGTGAATAATGTAAACAATTTTTCTACAAATCTGTTCTAGTACTATTAGAAAAACATATAAGCAGGGCTAATTTTGTTTTGTTGGAGATCAGTTCGGGATTTCACGAAAAAAATGACATTGTGGAAGTAATTGAGTGCTAACATGTTGCTTTGCTAAAATAAGAAGAAAAAAAGTATTTTAGATTTATTCTTCAGAAACTAAAATATGAAAGATGATGTAGCTAATCATAGAGAGATTGTATTATTCTATTCAATCCTTTGGAAATACAATGGAACATTGTTCACATGGACCGAAGACAATTACTTGTAGTATAAAGTAGATTCCTATGGTCAAACATAGAAGCGGCAAAAAAATCATTTTTTTCTCATTATCATTGAGCGATAATTTCAAAAGATCGAGAAAAACGACTGAAAATACGTTCAGTAACAAATAGCATTCAATGGTAGTATACATACGAATAATGAAGTACGTCTGTAATTAAGAATAAAGTTTAATGATGTATGATTGAGATGTATTTGCTTTGAAATGTCATCATGATTTTCTATCTTTTTCTCTTCGCTTTGAGCTTCTTTCTCATGTAATTTTTGTTTTTTTGCATTAAATCAGAAGAAATAATTCAACATGTCAATATACACATTGTGCTCTCGTTTATCAGTGAGATAATCTATTCATCAGTTCTAATCTCTAACGTGTCATTTGTAGATTCAGAAATTGAAAAAAAAATAGAAAACGCTCAAATGTTAAAAGAACTCTGTTACGGATCTAGATTTTCATCTCTGTGCTGAAACACATCGATTAGATCAAAATTCATTTAATTTTCTTACATTTTGGCAGTTTTTTAGATGCAATGTGTAGCTTTTCGACAAAATCTGGAATTCCTAAACAAAAATCAACAACTATTATTTTACACAAAGAACAAATCTAATAATCAACATTACCACTTTGAGCTAAATATGAGTAAGTTGATGTAGGTATCGACGCTTTTGCATCTTCATGATACGTTAACAAAAATTTCATCCCTTTCTTTAAAAATAAAAACGAATCAAACATTTTAAGAAAATTCGATTATTTGTTTTCAACTAACTTCTTCAAGTCTATGTTTCGATTGAATAATCATTGATGATTCATATTTACTAACTCGTACACATTTCTGATCATCATGAACATTAGGATGATTGATTGAATGACATTTAATAATTATTTTAGGTGGTGCATCTTTTGGCGCATCAAGGCAATAACGTCTCACATAGAGATAATCACGATGATTGAACGGAAATGGAAATTTTTGTATCCAATGAACAATATCACTATGAGTATTTTCATCAGTATCGATTACAGATAATCGTAGAGCATGATCATCCCATTTCATTCGATATTCAAGATCGAGCTTTGAAAGAAAAATATTTCATGTTTAAAATTTCATTTATCAATAGAACTCACTTACTTGTACTTGAAAAAAAACTAGCGCTGATATGTCATTAAATGTACCGAGAACTTTAAATAAAACAATTAAATAAAACAAAACATGTATATATATATGAATCAATAATATCTACTTTTATATGAATAAATTTGCAACTCATTATTATATTTACGGTATAGCAATAGATGATCTTTCCTTATGACTTTTTCCCAACCGAGTGATACTAATACTTCATCGATTTTATCATGAGTCATATTTAGTAAATATTCATCAGAACTTGCTTCTTGTCTAAATTAAAAGAAAAAATTATCTAAAATCAAGTTTTACCTTATAGGGCAGAATAAAAGTTTTCAAAAATCTAATTATTGTAAATATGACTATACTGCATGCATTTCAAAACGGCATGAGGATCTTTCAAGCTTGACAATGTAGCCTTAAACTTACAATTCTTCATCAGTGACTCCATCATTCTTCCATGAGAAAATAACCGCTGCACTAGTTAAAGCACCAATAATCGATGACGCACACGTAGTCGATTTTGTCTGATATTTGTTCCTAGAATATCTTCTTTGATTATCTTCCCAGTCATATTTATGCAATGAGATATTATCGATTTTTCGATTATTAGTGAATAATAATGGACTAAACGAAAGCAGATAACGACGTCGTTTACATCCGTCACAAAAGAATTTGAATGGCCATTTACTAATCGATTTCGAATATCGAATGAACCACTCAACCCACATGTGATCTTCTTTTTTTTTGTCTAAAAAAGCAAAGCAACCAACTTTGTATCAGATTTCAAGATAAAAAAATTAACAAACATTTTTTTATCTAAACATCAAAATTTTTAGCTGAAATCTTTTAATATAAAACCAAAAAACAATTTATCAATCATTAAAATAGATGTATGAAAAACAAAAAATTCATTGCTTTATTGCTTCACTTATACATTGGAGAATGACAGCAAATAAGACTATAATAAATTGCAATGGAAAACAAACAAAAAAAAGATGTAGGACGGAATATAGAATAAAAAATTAAATCATTTTAAAATTTAATTTCTTCTTGAAGTATTAATTCATAAATTTCAGGTGTTAAGCGTTGATAAGTCTGTTTGTGTTGATTCAAATAATAGATTGGGTCAGTTACACGATTTAGATCATATGCTTCGTCTTGAAAAGCTGTCTTCTTTACTTTAAATGTACCTGGAACAGCAAAAGAAAAGAATAGAAAATCATATGAATAATCTCAACTAACCTGTTAACTCGATACGTTTTGTCAAACGAATAAAACATGGTCGAGCATACGAAGGTAATCCCTGAGTTTTTAATTCTTGTACTAGTTTTATCAATTCAGTTGTTATTGATGGATCATCAAGCATAACAGCCATTCCTGCTTTACCATCAAATCCTATACGAAAAACAGACTATGATGAATTTTTCTATTTTTTGAAGTCAAACTTCCAAACCTGGTATTGCCACTCCAAAAACTACAATATCATTCTTTTTTAAAATACTCGTAAGAATATTTTCTACTTCAACTGTAGAAACATTTTCACTTTTCCAACGAAATGTATCACCTGTTCGATCACAAAAATAGAAATATCCATATTTATCAGCACATATGACATCGCCTAATTCGAAAACAACAAAAAACAAGAAAATATTCATTTATATTCAATTTAATTTTTACCTGTATTAAAAGCTTTATCGCCAATTTTATAAATATTCTCAACGATTTTACGATTCGTTCCAGATGGATTGTTAACATAACCATCAAATGCATTCATTAAGGTTGTTTTGATCATTCCTAATAATAATCCACGTTCACCTGGTTTACATCGAATGCATAGTTTCGTTTTTTCATCACGTAATGGTTCCATTGTATCGGGATCGAATTTAACAAGAATAGAACCAAGTAAACTAGGAAAAGCTACAGAATAAAATCCGCAAGCACCTGGATGAGAGTCCAGATTAACTAAAAAATAATATTTCCTTTCGAAAAACAAAGTAAAATCTAGGAAAATAATATTACAAAAATAAGCATTGCTTTCAGTAGCAGCATAAAATTCATAAATCTGACTTATATTAAATCTTTCAACAAATGGTGTCCATATATTTTGTCGAAGGCCATTACCAGCGCAAAAACGTATAGAATGCTTTCGGTCATTGTCACTTAGTGGTTGAGCCAGTAAAAATCGACATAATTCACCGACATATGAAAAACCCTTTTGAAGCAAAAATAAATATTTATTTTATTTTGATCACTTTCCGTGGATGCTTACCGTGCATTTATATTTAATACAGTCTTTCCAAAAATTCGTAGCTGAAAATTTTTTACGCAACACTGTTGTACAACCACCTAAGAGACTAAATAACAAAAAAATAAAATAAATGTTACCGATTGATTTGATATTGAAAAAAAACGTACCTATAAGTGACGCAAACCCAACCCCCTATGAGAATAGACGATCGAACAAATGAAACAATAACTTCTCTTTAGCAAAACAAAAAATCACTTACCAAGTGAATGATACAGTGGAAGAGTATTGTACATTATATCGTCTGGTTTGATATTAGTGGCACAGATAAAGCCATATGCTCCAAGGAAAAACCTATGAAAATTAAATATTGATATTTTTTTATTTACGAGAAAGGAGGGGGGGGACACTTTGTACACAAAACAGCCCTAAATGAAAATATGTTCAAAACTCGTTTCTAACCAACATTTCACATTGCACTATCTGAGAATACACGGTTCTGAACTTCCACAGACCATTTTCAGCCTGTTTTAGTATCCTTTTGCAAGCAGTAGATTTCTACTATGGGAAATATACTGCCACGAATGTTGTAACAACTAACACCAAATTATACAAGCCCCCTTATTTATCCATAGATAGAACATGTAGAAAAATATGCGATGCTCGAAAATTCCTAAAGACCACAGGGTCGAAAGTCTGTGGGAAAACCATTGTTTGCGTAAAGTTTGCTCAACATGACCCTGAACAGATTCGATTAGTAGGTTTCTGTCGTGTAGCGAGCGAGAAGATGGCTCCAGTATATGTTGAGCTCCAATATGTATATAATGAAAGGGATACGTAAGGAATGAAATATATATATATATATATATATATATATGCAGTGCGGCAGAGAGAAGCAGCATCACTGATGTTAGTGACAGAACGAAGAAGTGACCTTTCTAGGACTCGAACCCACACCTTCTGCTATCCAATGACGTGTCGTAATCAGTTAGACAAGAAGAACATTTTAATATTCGCTTAGCGTTATTATGCTACATCACGAACGCTAAAGGTTGTCAGGAGATCGTGGAATTCTGGTTTAGTTGTTCACTGCACTGATTAAGCATCGAACAACACTTAGCACAAATATAGCCATCAGTCGACAGAGAAGTTCGAAACAAATGAGTGGTAAGAAAAAGTTGAATACATTTTCCCTTCAGAGGACGTCGAGTGTTCGCGGTCAGGTGACCACCCTAATAAAAATAAAGGAGTTTCACTGAACCTTGTAAAAGTTTTTCGAGTATTCAGCAACAGAACCCACTCAAAATGGTTCTGAATAAGAAAAAATGGTACTGACAACGTTCTACACAGAGACGTTTTTTTCTTATCGGGAACCATTTTGGGCGAGTTTCGCTATTGGATACTCGACAAAACTTAAAAAAAGGTTCTGCAAAGCGCCTTTATTTTTTTCAGAGTACTAAAATAGGTGAAGCAATAGCCGACGAAAATCATACAAATTATATTTTCTCTCTTCACTCTGTACCAGTAAAACAGACTCTCCGAATCTCTCTCCCTATCCCACATCCTCTCTAAAAAGAATTCTCTGCCTGAAATATATTCTCTCGAAATTTCTCGTACAAATTCTTCATTTCAACTCTCTTTTTCTCTCTCGGAAATAATCTCACTGCATGTATTTCAGTCCATCTAAGATATGTTCTCTCGCATGCCTCCCATTTCAAATATCTTCTCTTCCACTAGAATTAACTGGCCACACTAATCATACCGTTGTTATCTCATTTTCATCTCTCATTCTAAATTACCACTGAAACCATCATAACAAAAGTTTTATACGCCCGTATTCCAACATCACCACTACAATAGAGCACGCCCGACAGTTAGGAAAACTTTCTTTCACTCGTCACTTATCCATTTATGAAGCAGTGTATACACCGAAATCCTTACAATAGCCATTCCATTAAAATCCGACAACTCCGACATCGCTGCGTAAATATTACCTAACCTCTCCAAGCTTATGCAACCCTTCAGAAGAACCATATATGCCATTTCACAGTAGCACATTTTAAAGCGCTGAATGGGCTATCTTTCCACTGAAGAAATCATCTTGGTATCTAATTAGTTCAATACTCGAGATCATACGAACCACATTTTGCCAAACAATGGTTTTCCCACAGACTTTCGACACTGTGGTCTTTAGGAATTTTCGAGCACAGCATATTTTAGTATCATTTTGTAGGGTTTGAAAAGTTCTATCTATGGATACATAGAGAATTTGTATAATTTGGTGTTAGTTGTTACAACATTCGTGGCAGTATATTTCCCATAGTAGAAATCTACTGCTTGCAAAAGGATACTAAAACCGGCTGAAAATGTTCTGTGGAAGTTCAGAACCGTGTATTCTCAGATAGTGCAATGTGAAATATTGGTTAGAAACGAGTTTTGAGCATATTTTTCATTTAGGGCCGTTTTGTGTAAAAAAGTGTTCCCTCTCCTTTCACATTATAATAGATCTTCGTTCAGTAATCCCTTATCAACCACAACAGGCTTATAATGCAGCAGTTTTTAGAGCTGAAAATTGCACTCGAATTCCACTCATCGATCAGTGTGCTTAAAAAACTAGAATATTCAATGCTTTGTGAAAGATAAAATTGTTTTTCAAACTGAAATTTTCTCGATATTCTATGTTCATGTATAAGAATTTGTCATTGGAAGCTATTAATTTATAGATAAGGTTGTGTATCCTTATCTCTTTGAAGTCTAACTCGTCAGTAGTTTCATACAAACTATGTAGAAAGTGCATATATTTTATTTCAATCGATCTTTACAACTTAGACATATGTAAATTTTTGTTTCCGTTTAGATTAATTTCAAGGACTTCTAGTGCTTCTATACGCAGTGAAAAATATTCGCCGATTTCAATCAAATTATTGTGCAACAAAATCCGATCCGTAATCCAATTGATAATTTTGATTTTAATCGACCATTTTTCAGCCCAAATTTTATGCTATTGCTAGCCCGGTGGAAATTAGTTTGATTGAAATCGGATTGCTTTCCAGTAAAATCCACATTGTCAAGCGATTGATAATTCGAATTGTGCTACAGAACAATCAGATTTTAATCAAACTAATTTCCACTGGGATAACAATAACATCACGTTCGGGTTAAATGGTGATCGATTAAAATCAAAATTATCAATTGGATTGCGGATTGGATTTTATTGTACAATAATTTGATTGAAATCAACGAATATTTTTCATTGGGTACGATGGAAAATATAGTCTTTTGATTTAATATTCGAATTCTTCAAAAAGTACAAGGCTAACTGTCAATTTAAGACACCTTATTGTATAGCTTTTTATTTCAGGTAGATAAAGTCGAGCAACACCATATATCATTATATTAATTTTAGACTAGAGACTACACCATTTTTCTTATCTAAGAAGATAGGAGACATTTATTTCACCTTCTATCCTATCTTTCCGTAACGAGAGAGTTGCATATGGAAACGATGATGATAAAAAAGCACACTTGACCTTTTCAAATAGCCGTGATTCTCATCTTGAGTATCCATAAAAGCTCATGTAGCAGTCCGTGTGAATCTCGCAAGTTGACTAGGAATGTTTTTTTCAACAAACCTTGAATGCTTAATGACTGCTGCTTTAGGTAATCCAGTTGTGCCCGACGTGAATATATAGAAAACTGGATCTATAACACGAACAGTCAAGATCACAAGAAATATAGTCTACTAGTAATTTATATTTAATTTACATACGTTTTAAATCGTATGGAATAGGTTTAGGAGGTTGTACTGAACATATTTCAAATTTTTCATATAACTGAACTGTTTCGACAGAAGATGATACTGATTCAATGCCATTACTCATTTTGTTTGTCGATGTAGATTTTGGATCAAATAAATAAATTTTTTTAATGTTTAATTCTTTTAATTCAGATCCAATTTCTATTGAGAACTCAAATTAAAATTCTATAAATTTTAAGAAAATATTTCTACCTGAAAGAATTTGTTTCGATGTAATAATGCTGATAGCTTTTACGGTTTGAATGGAATGTAACAGTGGTTTGCCACGTAAATTTGTATTAATTAAAGCAGTAATACAGCCAATTTTACTTAAACCAACCCAGACACATGGATATTCAAGTGAATTTTCAAGTATAAGTGCAATGACATCACCACGTGAGAAACCTTCAGCTGAGAAAAAGTTTCCTAATTGATTTGTTAAATCTTCCACCTTAAATTACCACAAAAAAGAAACGATTTTCTTTATCAATAATTTGATGTATATAAATTATTACAAACCTGTTGAAATGAAAGAGATTTATCTTCAAAAATAAAGCATGGTTTCGATCCATGGAGTTTTACATTTTTACGGAATACTTGAATGAAATCTCGTCGTCGAAACATGTGATATCTAATTATCACAGTATGTTTCAAAAGTTTATACAAACCACCTAAATCACGTGGTAGTGTTGTCAAAACAATCAATATAAATTCCCATAACGATAAAATAGAAGCCCAAAGTTGATGAAACATCTGAAATGATGATAAACAAATGTAATATACAATAAAACAATATCTCTTATGGGAAAGACTATCACTGTTGTTGTTCGTAGCAATATTAAATGAATCGTTTCTTCTTATCTTCCTATTTCAAAATAAGAAAAGAAAATTTCTAGCTTGCATGTTTAGTATGCTCTTTTCTTTCATCGTAGAAGAAAAAAGTACGAATGTTTCGTACGCGCATGCTCGTATAGAAGTATAAGCGAGTAAGTAGTTGAGGGTAAAGTGCAGCATACGAAAGTTTTTTTTTTATAAATCCTTAATTTAGTAACGGTGACATTGGAGAACATAAGAAAAAGAACTATGTACCTCAGACTTTGTCACTCATTTTTATCGAAACGAACACGTTGATTCATTGCATACAAACAGCATAGAATGAACATTTGGATAATTTTATTTGGTGACTCAACAAACATATCTGTTGTACTATAACCATATCTAATTTTGAAGTTAATTTACTCAGCAAAGAACGAAAAAATTCTTTATTCTTCGAAAAAAAAGCAAAAAAAAGAACGTACGAAATGTATGTTGGTGATATATTCAGGGTCAAAAATACATTCACACATTCAGAACCTTTTTCTTTTTTTCAAGTCGTAAAATACAGGCACAATGTGTGTTAATGCGTTTACAAAGAAAGAAAGAGAGAAGTAGAATGATAGTAATAATAATAATAATAATAAGCAAAAGAGATAAGTTGCGCACAAAACGTATAAAACACTGTAGTTAAGAACTTTTGTTTCATCTAACAAACATAATCGCCGAAATCTCCTCGAAAATCTATATCAATACGGCATATTGGACATCGTTTACTTTGCGTTAGCCATCTATCCACACATTCGATGTGAAATAGATGCATACATGGTAAACGACGCACATCATCATTAAGATCAAATTCACATAAACATATAGTACATTTTTCATCAATAGATATCGTTCGCTTTTCATATTTATATGATAATGTTCGCGCATTAATATGTTCTTGATTGGCGCCTATATTACCACCATTATTCAAACCGTTCAATTGTTCTTCCATGCGTAACAATTCTTCGACAACATGTTCAGCACGTTCACTGTTTAGAAATGGATGATGATGATGATGGTGATGGTGATGACTACGTAAAAGAAGTGGATTACGAAACGGACGAAATAATAATGGTGTTGATGACCATTGATTATTTTGTGTCGTTGTATTTATTGCAACATGCATACTTGGATTATTTGTACCTAATGTTAAATTATATGTATTCGCTGATGATGTTGCTGTTGTTGTTGGTTGAATTGTTAAATGAGCATGAATATTATTATTTGTTGTTGTTGTTGGATGTGTAAGAATAGCATGCAATTGTTGATTAGCAGTAAGTATCGTTGTCGTTGCTGGTGATGATGATGATGCCGACGACGAAGAGGAGGATGACGTTTGATATTGAAATGAACTTAAACGTTGACGACGTAATTCAGATGTAAGTTGTTGACGATACTGATGACGTAAATGAGCTGGATTATGATTATGATGATGGTGATGAAAATGAAGATGTTGTACAGGTGAGACTTGAGGAAGAGAAGCAAGAGCAACTTTAAAAGAAAAAAATAATAAGAATAAATGCTTCATTTTTATTGTATTTTTGAAAGTATATTAGAAAAAAAAGTAAACTTACCAGCACTAGCAGCAGCAGCAGCAAGAGCTACTGTTTGTTGTGTTGTTGCTGTTAAAGTTGGTACTACATTAGGTGTTTGATTCGGCGGATAGACAAGAAACGGAGATATGGATGAATTTGATCCATTGGATGGTGTTATTACTGTTGATGTATTCGGTATTCGATGGGAACATGAACATGAAGAATTAGTTGGAATTGCCGTTGGTAATGGATATCTGCGAGATGATAAAAGTTGTCGAGGATATGTTGGAGGTACGGATGGTGTTGTTGCTGCTACTGTTTGTTGTTGTTGTTGTTGTTGTTGTTGTTGTTGATGATGATGATGATACTGTTGTTGATTCGAATAAAGTGTTGGATAATAAGTTATAGGTCTTGATTGTTGTTGTTGTTGTTGTTGAATAGGTCGAAAATCATTAATATTAGATGTTATATTTAATGGTAATATTGAATCTTGTTTAACTTGATTATTACTGTTAGATAATAAAGATGAAGATGTAGTTCGATTAAATAAATTATTCGATGAATCATCATCATCGTCGTCGTCATCATCATCCTCATCATCCTCATCGTCTTCTTCTTCTTCGTCATCGTCATCACTATCATCGCTTGATTCAACACTTGTCGTTACTGTTGCTGTTGTTGTTGTGGGTCGTTTTTGAAGATCCATTCCATTAGTTTCATCATAGAGAGAAGCTGTAACAGCAGCAGCTATACATGCTGCAGCTGTAGTATGTGATGATGGTAAATTATTTGTTGTTGTCGTTGACGATGAAGAGAATAATCGCTGAGTAGCATTACTAAAAGTATCATTATCATCATCATCATCATCATCATCATCATCATCATCATCGGACGAACATTCTTGTAATTGTAATTGACGAGAAGATACTTAAAAAAGGATTGAAAATTTGTTTGTCTATTGTTAATTTTTCCTTAAAAATAAAAAACCATATTTTACCTGTTGAAGATTGTAATGGACGAAATCTTTTCGGTAAATGATGATTATCATTTATTGTAGAATTTGTCGATGAACAATCATATTCACGTGATATCGAACGTTTTTTACGATTATTTGTAGATGTTGAAGATGTTATTGAATTTGTTGTTGAAGAATTATTACATAGATTTTCATAATAATTACATATGAGAGTATTGCTATTCGATACGATGGAAGCAGCAGTTGTTATAGTTGCTGATCTTTGTTCACTTGTGGGTAAAGATGAAGACATAGTGGGTGTGAATTTATCAAGAAGAGTTTTGTAGCGAGGTAATGTTGTTGTTACCGTAGATGAGGATGAAGTAGAAGACGAAGGTGAATCTAAAACAAAACGATGTATTTATAATAAAAAAAAAAGACGGAAAGTCTAACCACTGTATGTATGTGTAGTAACAGTATAGGGAGTTGGTGGTCGACCATTTCTCGGTAAATCATTGCTATTATGCGTAGTTCCATTAGTAAGAAAATCATTTAATGTTGTCGGATTAACATTTTGCTGATGATGAATAAGAAGAGCAGCGGCTGCAGCAGCTGGTTCGACGGCAAGAAATTCAGCAAATGCAGCGTTCATTGCTGATGCTACTTCTTCAGGGCTAACAATCGACGATTGATGTTGTTGTACGGCACTCATACGTCGTTGTAAATAAAAAAAATATATATGTATATATCTATCTATAGATGTGCACTTATTGTTTTGTATATTTGTTGTTTTTTAAGAAAAAAACAAGAAAAAAACTAATCTTAAATCTTAAAAATTAATAATAAAATAATATTTTATCCTTTAAGATTTTTTTCTCTCTTCATATTCTCATATCTTGTTTACTGCATGCAAAAATAGATGACGAACGATTCACTCAATCCTTAGCCTTGTTGCTCGACGTTCTCGTCCAGTACAAAATAAAACGACAACGTTCGCTGGCTTGGTTGCTTGCCCCCGTTACTATTACTGCTTCGCCTTTCTTTCTTTTTTTTTCTATTTTTTTTCTGTTCTTTTCGCTCGACGCTTATTGCTCGAAGAGAGAACGCAGAGAGCACGCGTGCATGCTCGCCCTCGCGCTCGCAATAACAAATGTTTTTCTTCGATGTTCTCTATGCGTCTGCATGCGTGTGTATGTTGTTCATCTCTAAAATCTATTTCTCGCCCGTCATTGTGTATCCGCGTTCTTTCTTCGTTTTACTTTCTTTCCATCCGTGTGTCTTTCTCATATACACATACGTTGGAGAACAATTTGACAAAAAAAATGGAGAAAGAATGAGAGTAAGAAAGAAAATAAAGCCATATGGTGCCAAGATCTAATTTTTTTCTACCTAATAGGTAAGAAACTCTTGTACAGCTCAAGAGAGCGAAAGTAATAGGTAGAAACAAGTAACAACAACGATGAATGCATCATCATCATCATCATTCTGCTATTTTGTTTGATCCATATAAGGAATATATAGTTGTTCAAATATGAAATGATGCGAAGAAAAGGAAAGAGAAAAAGAACATCGAAGTCTATTTAGAGTCTATGTTGATCAACAGCACAATGATGACGACAATGCAAGTGCAGAAAAACGATCAATCTACTAACACAGACATATATACATATTTATAATATACATATATGGTACAAAGAATGTATAGAGGAGACACAAGGCAAAAAAGAGAAGAGGGAGGGAGATAAACGACGGCCGAAGAGAACAACCTTTTTTCAACACACACACGCGGCTCGAGCACGCATAGCCATGAATGTCGAATGCGCCGCAAGCAAAGACGACTGTCGAGCATATTCATGAATGATGGAGGGAACAAAGATGTATGTATGTGTGTTTGCGACAAGGAGAAGAAGAGAAAAAAAACGAGAGCAAAATACGTGTAATGAAGATTTTGAAGGCGGGTACACTGTGATAGAATCACACGTCAATATATTTCTTATTACTTTTTTCAGACAAAGTTTGTCGCTTTAGTCATAGAACACAAATAAATCCCAACGTTAGGAAAAGATCAAAAAAAAATAAGTTTGTTTTTTTCTTAGTTCTTTTTGTTTTCGTTTCTATAAACGAGATTAGAAAACATTACATCAGCACAAAAAAAGAGCAAATAATTAAATTGATAGGAAACTTTGTGTTTAGATTCTATGGATTCAGTATATCAATTTTTTCGTCGTTGTTGTTGCTGTTGTTGTTGTGATTGATCAAGACTTTGCTGATATTGTTGAATAATTTTATTTGACATATCTGCTCGTACTGGACAATAACGAACATATTCCATAGAGAATTCACCTTTTCCTTGTGTATGTGAACGAATATCCGTCGAAAAACCGAACATATCATTAAGTGGAATCTTTAAAAGAGATCAAGAGCAAAACATTAAATCATTTTTCTCTTTGAAATAAAACATACTTCAGCTAACATTGTAAACCAATCTTCACGTGGTTCAATGCCGGACACAATGCCAAAACGTTTAATAACTAATGAATGTACAGCACTTTGAAATTCACAGGGCGCATTTATTTCAACTAACATAACTGGTTCAATTATTTGCCATTGACCAGATTCTTGTGCTAGTAAATAGATTTACAATATTTCAAATAAATGACGACTGATAAATGTTTACTTTGTTTTATAGCTCCGTCAGCAGCTAACATAAAAGCAAGTTCATTTGAATCGACAATATGATTGTCACCTTAACATAAATAGAAAAATATTATTTTAACAAGCTTTTTTTTCTAATATACCGTCTTGTAAACGGAATTTAACTCCGCTAATTTTGTTGCCACTAAGAGAACCTTTTTCGTAAGCTCGAATTAAACCCTAAGAGAAGATATAAATATAGATATGAATTTATAAAAATCTAACTTTTTTGATAGCTGGGATAAATTGTGATGGCACATTTGTTCCAGATGTTTCATCAGAAAATTCTATAAAACAAAGCAAATGAAGATACATATATTTCAATATAATTTTCATTGATCTTAAAATACATACCAACAGTAGCAAATTTATCTGGTGATAAAGGCTAAAAATAAATTTTTTAATCTCTTAACAATTGATATCTATGAAATTTACTTCAAGAATTCCAATGACACGAGCGAATTGACCAGCACCACCGGATTGTTTCTTATGAAGATAATCAAATCTTTAGAGAAGAAATAAGAATTTAATTGATGAAAAACTATTTCTATTCTTCGTTTACTTAATAGGATTGACAAGAGATTCTCGAAATGAAACTTTTGGTTTACCCATTTCAATTTTGACGCCATATTCTCGTTGAATACGCTAAAAATAAGTTTATCTTTAACTTTTATTGTAAATAAAAATTTTGTACCTGTGCGTAAATATCGAGTTGTAATTCTCCCATGCCCATTGCTATTGATTCTTTATTATCTTCATCATAGACAATACGAAATGTTGGATCTTCTCGAGTAAATCTTTAATAGAATAAATCATCATGAGTATTTGTGTTTTATAATGAACAAAAAAAACCTCACCTAGCAAGAGCGGCAGCAAATTTTTCTACATCAGTACTCGATGAACATTTTATGGACATGGAAATAACCGGATCAGGAACAAATATTGATTCCTAAAATACATCGAACACTTTTCTAATTATATACTCTGTCGTCACTTGAAAATATTTACCATGCTAATTTGATAGGCTTTATCATTAACAAATGTATCACCAGTAGCACAATCTAGTCCATAAAATGCACAAATATCTCCTGCATAAGCTTCATCAATTTCCTAAAAAAGAACAGAAATAATACAAAAGAAAAAAAAGACATAATTCTAATTTTACTTCAGCTTTATTCGAATGCATGCGAACAAGTTTCGATACTCGTGTTCTTTTCAAAGTACGTATATTATAGAGTGTATCTCCACGTTTAACACCACCTTGATAAACACGTACATATGTTAATTGTGATGCACTTGTATTTCGACCACCAGCCTTAAGTTCACAAAGATAGTTTTAACAAAAAATAGCACCTCACTGAAATCTTATTACTTCGATTTTAAATGCAAAACCAACAAATGGTGCAGTAAATGAACGTGTTGGATCAAGTTTAATTGTCTTTTTTTCTTTTCTAAAAACGAGTAATTGATTAATCAAAATGTGTGTTTTTTTTCTCGTTACCCTAATTCATCGAGTGCAACGTTTTCAACTTCAGCTGGATTTGGTAAATAACGGGTGACATAGTCGAGTAAAGGTTGTACTCCTTTATTCTTTAAAGCTGATCCAACAAATATGGGATTGAATTTACGCGTTATTACACAACGACGAATAGCATCCTTTATAGAGAAAATATCAAATTATAAATGTCTTGGAAAATAATTCTTACACACATGAATTTGTTGTTCATTAGGTATTTCTTCATGTAGAAACATTTCACCAAGTTGTTCATCGGCGCCTGATATAGTTTCTACAACACAACGAAATAGATTCATTGAATATTATTCGGTCTACATACCAATTAAATCTCGTCGTCTGTTTTCCGTTTCTTGTTTATATTGTTCAGGAATTTCTTCGACACAGACTTCTTCTCTGAATTTAAATAATATGTTTTCATAATCAAGATTTTTTATTAAATAAAAACTGTTACCCATTCGGACCATTAAAATAAAACGCTTTTCGCTCAATGAGATCTATGATTCCTTTGAAATTTCCTTCTAAACCCATGGGAATTTGTACAAAAGCAGCATTGTGACCAAGTTTTGATCTAACATAAAGAAACAATAATAAAACACATTAAAATGAAAATAAATTTCTACTTTAATTGATCCATTGCTCGACTAGGATTGGCATTCATACGATCAAGTTTATTGATAAACGTCAAAAATGGTACACGATATCGATTAAGTTGTCTGTTCACTGTTATTGTTTGCGATTGTACACCACCAACACTACAGACAACAAGAATAGCACCATCGAGTACACGTAAAGAACGTTCAACTTCAACTGTAAAGTCAACATGGCCTATTTGTAATTACAAAAAAAAAACAGATGAAAAAGTTTAGTTTTAATTTAAACCCATTATATTACCAGGTGTGTCAATAATGTTAATATTATGACCTTTCCATTCAACATAGGTTGCAGCAGATTGAATAGTGATGCCACGTTCACGTTCAAGATCCATAGAATCCATTGTGGCTCCTACTGAATCCTTGCCTTTAACCTAAAGCAATTGAACATAGTTTATTTTAAGTTTTATGAAACTGATTCTAATATACTTCATGCATTGCTTGAATACGTCCCGAGTAGAAAAGAACACGTTCAGATAAAGTTGTCTAAATAGAAATATTGATGTTAGATAGTACTATAAATTGGGAAGTGTCATACTTTGCCAGAATCTATATGTGCTGATATACCAATATTACGGATTTTTTCTAATGGATAATGTTTCTATAGAAATTAAAAAAAGTATTCAAATACTTTCAACAAATGCTTTTTAAAATTATATTTACAGATTCTCGTTTGACAGCAAAAGTTCGAAAAGGTATCCAACGGTACTAATAAAATAATGGATTTCATTTTTAATTTGCAAAAATCTGATAATTGCTACCTGTTTAACAAGATGAGAAAATAATCGAGGTGTCATTGTTGTTAATTTTGGTCGGAATGGATCTTTTTTCTCTGAAAAGAAACAAGAAAATCAATCAGCTGTAAATCAAAAACAAAAGCGAACTTCATTTGTAGAAAAGGGTAAAGCTCACAACATCCAAAGATAAGTAGTCCACTGCCTCCTCCGGTAAATTGTACGATTGATAGATGACGCTGTCCATTGCTACACTTCAGTCAGATTTCTATATATTTGAGAACTTTATTGAATTGAATTGAAACATAATAATTGACACAACTCAACTAATAAATTTACTAACGTGAGTTTCCTACAACTAAATGTTATAGTAAGGATTGATAGTGAACATGAAAATTCTACGCTAATTGAAATTCATTAAAATATATACCTGTAGAAAATCTCGGCTCATTCTATAAAGCCAATTCCGAGATATAACCAGATGACGCTAAGCTCGATGAAAGTGGTCGTTTTTGGCCTTTTCGTACAATACTCATAAAAAAATCGAGGGTTCAATATTTATCATAACGGCTTTCGTGAAAATTCTCAGAAGTCTTCGCTCTAGAACATCTATCAAATTGAGCAGAATGGGGTGACCTCGTTTGAGCAAGTTCCCTACGATTCGGTCGTGGCTTACGTGCACTGGCTCATAAAGACAAAGCCATTTTAAGATTCCTTTAGCAGGGACGAAATGCCTTATGGTTACTACTGAAACACGCTCACATACACACACCATTTAAACATATACATTATTCTATTTATTTTATCTTATTTATCAGTTGAAATGAGTGTTAATTTGTTATTTCAGATTTAAATATTGCCCGCTCTCACGTCCTTATCGTCAAGATGTGGATATTTATTGATCTGATTAATAGGAATTTTTAGCACGTACATGTTCGCATCAACAATTGGGAGCTATTGGGAAGACATGATCTATTATCAGTTTTAACGTCGTTATTGTAACGATCAATATGCCCCTGGTTGGGACTGATGCGTTAAGATAAACTGGATAGAGGCGGAGTAGCTTACAGCCACTCTCGGAAATGATGTTTATTCGCTTCGTCACATATCCAGAGTGTAACAACTTCATACATAACACACGTATTTATAGGAGAGAGATAGGAGAGATATATATTAGAACAATGGAAAGAGAACAGAAGGAAGAGGAAGGAGAATCATCGAAGCGTACCATCAATATCGGCACAGCTATCGTTCTCACTATCCTTATGAGATATTATAGACATATTTTGTGATTTTCGTATAGTTTTCAATTAAATGTCTTTGATATTGGTTGACGGATCTTGGGCTTTGTTGATGGTTGATTAAACACGAATAAGTCGCAAGTGTCCACGTTCCTTCTTCTAACCAAACTTCAATGGGCAGAATATCACGTGTATTTACGTAGCGATTTTTAAACATTCCCCCGTTCCACCATATGGGCTGATGGTTTTGATCAAGATGTAGGATGTGTCCGCATACTTTACTGTGTTGAATATATCCTATGGAAGCTGTCAGAGTTGGTATGAATGAATAGGCCATATCGACAAGATGAAAACCGAGCCACCATGTGTCTTTATCACCATAAAGATGTCGATAAGTGACCCGTTCACGTTGGTCGTGCTCATTCAGTTTACAAGTGCTCAAGAGACCAAGAAGAGTACGACCTTTATCAATGAGAACAACACCAGATTCTTGTGTTCGCTTAGGAATAGTATCAATACTCTTCATCGATATATCACGAATCCATCGGAGAGCTTCCGGTGATAAATTTGGTCTATCGTAGAAAAATAGAGAACCAGTGCGAAGGTAAAGTTCATTTTCAAAGAGAACTGATGGCTTTTCCAGGAACAAAACATCAGCATCAATCAAAAGAACTTGCTGGAATCGTGATGCGAGTACTGCAAACGGTTTAATTTCCCAACCTCGCAGTTCCAAATAGCTATCATTGAAAATTGTCGATAAATCTATGAGTCGAACTTCGGGAAATTGATGTGCCAGCTTTTTTTGATTGCCCAGTGACAAATCAGTGGAAGTGGAGAACATAATTTCGATGGGCATTGTGTTTCCAATCGACTGAAGAGCACGTAGGGCTACTAGTGTCAGAAGAAAATGTCCATTGCCAGTACAAATCACGATTCCCTTTAAATTCTTTTGACGCGGAAAGTATTTCAAAGTCTTTATCATTTCTCGATGTATCCACCGTGGAAAGAGTTTCTCCTCTAAATATCGACTGTGTTGTAACGAGTACAGTTTCAAATCTGCTACGACGCCGTTGAAACCACTCGTAGAGTTCACACTCAATTGTGTTGTCTGACCTGATGCAATATATCTGCTGAAAATGTGATTCCACTGATAGTCTGATGAACGAACGGGAAATAAAAGAATGCAGGCACTAACATAAATTACAAAGAGAATCATCGCAATCCATGGCAGCATACCTTTAATATAAAATGAAATTAGTACTTTAATAGTACCTAGAATAAAATATACGCCAGAGTTAGTAGTTATGTATAAGAATATCGAAATAAGAGAGATATGAAACTGAGTCAAATAAATTTTGATAGGATCAATATAGAGACCTATAATTTTCACAATTCAAAAGAAAAACACACGTGTCGATCGAATCAAATCAAAATTTGATTGCTGAATAATTACCTATACGAAGAGTCAGACGGGAGAGGGTTGTCATGCTGAGCCCAACAGTCATATTTGTATGTTAGGATCCATCTGGGGTACCTATCCCTATATTTCTGAAATTCCACAAGCTGCCTGCATGCAATGAATTAGAGTCGAGATTTGTAAAGTATAGCGATAACAGAGCTAAATCAGTTCGAGAATAAAAAGCAATATTACAATCGAACTCAGAATGATGAATTATGTTCATGTAAATGCTCGTTCAAGCATTTATAAATCTATTGCTGGAAATCAGGACTCTCAGGAAAAACCTCAAAAACATTTTAATTAAGCAACCCATTGCTGTTTATTGGCTACTTCAGACCTCCAGAATTTGTCTACTGTACGTGCAATGCACTTGTGTATAAGTGAAAGTGATAGTAAAGAAGAAAGATACAAGCAAGATCTATAGAAAGTGACGTCAATATCGATACATGTTTTTTTTTCATTTCATACTCAACTGTTTCTTTTCAAATGATTATTTAAGACTCTATCAGAGTTAACTATCAATGTTATTTAAAATCCAGCCAAATTTTTATCTAGGCTCTAAATGTCTGTTCTGACTTCATATACAAAAATCGGTCGTGACGGTGTGTGTGTTTGTGTGGATCATGAGATGTCTAGCTCGAATTCGAATATAAATGGACACCCAACTGCATGGTATCAATTCGACGATAAGTGATAGAAATAGTTTTAGTTTTAGTTTTAGTTTAAGATGGAGTGGGTGTGTGTGTGAAGGGTATCCGGAAGGGGTGCAGAGAGGGTGGGATATCCGGATACTTCAAATGTGAGTGTGGGTGATGGGTATATATGCATTCATATGTCGCATATATCGAAAAGTTAAACTAAAATTAAATCTAGAAATTGATTTAGTTTTAGTTTAACTTTTTCTTTTCTCCATTTATATTCGAACTCAAATTAGACAGCTACTCGTGTGGATTAAGATAGATTGAACTCAAACTCAATTTCCATGTCATCTAACTGTCTGAAATGTCAATCGCACTGAGTCCTCATTGAAGAATTTCAAACAATAGCACGAAAGATTTAATTCTCAATCATCTCTAGATTTTTAACTCATGGACTATTTCCTAACCGAATTATTTTGAGTGGCCCATTTTAATGGGAAATTCCCTACAATCATAAGAATTTGATATGTATTGACGAAAAGCTTGTTACTCTCAATTAAGACAAGAACTTGTTCGTTTTTTAATATTCAGTATTTAAGTAATAGTTCCTTACATCGTATTTGACCGAATTAAAAATTATAAAATTTCCAACAATATATATATTCTCGTCATTTTTTATGAGTTCCGGCATTTGTGAAAATGCGGTAATTTTGTACAAATTCCAAGAACTCGGAAAATAAAGCGAAATGGTCAATTACTATAAATGAATTTATGGCAAATTCACCGACAGCCCTATCCGACTATTTCACTGCTGAATCTCACAATTTTTTTGGAAAAAAATACCATCAAGTTTTTTCAGTCGACTACGTATTGAAAGAAACACATGGAAGGAAGGTTTTTCAAAAACCTTTAAAAACAACTTGCTGCAATCCCTACTAAAACCTGTAATAGTTCTTCTCAGAATCTTTGAGGCTCTCACATTAACTTCAGTAAGGATCTTAATTTTCCTAGTTCAGTTGTTCCCTCAGCAAAAAGGACTAACTCTTCAAAGAATTATTATCTGACTTATCAGCTATCTCATTCTGAAATTCCAGATATTTTGGATAGGAGTGTTTTCTTTCACAAAAGGATCAGCAATTCGATAAGATGAACTTAATATGATTATAATCAAAGTCTTCATACTTGTTCGAGAACGATTGTGTTTCGTTATTGCTGTCATGATTGCGTTCTGGGAAAATATGCTTCAGCACAATTTGTTTATCACCCCAAATTATTCACTTGCATGAATCCATGGTATACCACTAAATATTTATTATATATATTTATTTAATGAAAGCAATTTTTAAATATCACTCCTTAGAATGACGCATTTTGCTTCATCTTTTTTTCTCGTTCTCTCACTTATAGTGAAATATATATATGCTCACCTATAACGGAAAAAAAAGAAAATACAAGAAGCATATGAAAAATTTTGATAGGCATATCGCGTGGAAATTATCTTCGCTTCTTTCTGTTTTTTCCTGATTTATCTACCGTTCACATTTCCTTGGCTTGTACACTGATAAAAAAGCGCCGAATGCTAAACATTTAAAGCGTGAATGAAAATGCAACGTACGATATACCCTTATCTACCCATAAGAAGACGAAATAAAAAGGTTTATCAAGTGAATATACCACGTGGCGACAGGTTTTATCATAGCGTTTATACGACTGCACAACTTTAAAAGGGTGTATTATACGTTGTATTTTCATAAACCCTATCGAAGTTGTCAGAGAGTACTCTAACAAGTTATTTATTTATTCCTATAAATTCTGGTTTCGTCTTTACACGTTATGTATTTCTTATATGTGCAATCTTTATACACAAAATAGTCTAGTCGAAGAAACAAATACCTTTTATTCCTTTGTTTCTTTTCCCTCTCTCTCTCTTGTGTGTGTGTATAGGTTGTATAGTATAAATAGGAAAAAAAAGAATAATACAGAAAAGATTAAGATTCAGATTAGAAATCGAAAATAGGAAATTTGTTGTTGATTGGTTAAATAGAAGCATAAATTTCTATTTTGCGAATTGATTTAAGTTACAGCGGGGCCTCTGTAATACTTTCTGTCTCAGCTTTTTCAATATCTTCATATTAAACACAAAAATACATGTTTATCTTTCGTCATTTTTGCTGTCATTATTATCTACACTGCTATATTGTAAAAATCAAACACATCGTTAATGTAAACATATCGATGATCAAATAAGACTGCTTATCAACCGATATCAAAATGCTTATTTATTAATGTGAGTTTGCACGAGGTATTACTTTGTATATATAGGCGTTACATATTATTTTTCTTTTTTTTCTAACATAAGATGTTTACCCGAGTCAATGAAATGGGACTCTAATTTCGTTACTTCTTATTTTTGCATATCAAAACATTGTTTCATGTACATCGCAAGTTCACCAAATAAGTGATCCATATTTTCCTCTCGGTTGTGACCAGTACAACAAAAAACGATGAGCATCTTACTATTTCTTTTCATCAAGTTAGCGCGTGGGTGACTGTATAAAATAACATTAACCAGATCCAGACCCTCACACCGACACCCTAAGAAAACTATTTTTGATGCAAAGGTAAAATAATCAACTCCTGTGCGTAGAGAAATAAACCTTTCCGATCAAACAGTAGAACAATCAATCTCTGTCCGTAGAATGATAAACTCTTTGAACGAAAGAGCGGAAAGATCAACCCCTGAACGATGAACAATGAACTTCTTTCAACAAAAGAGAAGTAGCATAAACCCTCCACCGACAATGAAACTATCCCTTGAGATGCTAAGGTAGATAAGCCGATATTTGTCAGTAGAATAAAAAAACCTATCAATGAAGAGACATAGAATCGAGCATTCACGTACAGTGATAAACCCTTTTTATTAAGATGTAAATGGATCAACTGTTGAACGTGGAATACTAAACCCTTAGCAGGAAATGGTAGCAGAATCTACCATTAGGCGTAGAATAATGAACTGTTTCTGAGAAAGAGTAGCTTACTCAACCCAGAGAGGCAGAGTGATGTACCCTTTTAACGAAAAAGTAAAATAGTAAACCCGATAACGAAGAATAAAATACCCCTACTTTGAAAGCAAACAGCAATCTACTATCATCCGTTGAAGGATATACTCTTATCGTAAAATCGTAGAATAATGAATGCTTATCTACCCATCATATACCGCTTGAGTTTTTATAAACCCATAACGTCATAAACACTAAAAGAGTTCATCATATTGGAATAAACCCTTCAAGGGTTTAATGGCGAACTTTTTAAGTGCAGAGGTAGATTATTACGCGGATTTTTTTATCAGTGTGCTGTGTGATTTATTATTATGTGTTCCGTATATTCTGTCGAAGCGGCTTGATCAAATAAATGTACATATAATTAAACGCACTTTGTACGTAGCAAATATATACACAAGAATCAATCGAAAACAATAGGGCATTATTGGTACTTATCATAGTTAAACACCATGAATATTTTTCATTTTAATATAATAAAGAAAAATACAATGAAAATTCTAAGACAAATGAAGGCTCATGTCAAAGCTCGAAACCTAGGAGGCATTGCACCCAAGCCACAACCGTGTTCAGCAAAACCTTGCTCAATAGATCTCACGATTTTGGCTGCTATTTCTACAATAGATACCTATATTAGAGCTAGGAATAAGTCTAAAAGTTTAGCTTAAACAGATGAGTCGTTCTCGAGATATATCACTTGGAAGTACGAGTACTCAATCAAAATTAGACTTTTTCTATTACAGTACTTTTCAGTATATTTTTATTTTCTCCCAAGTTATAATAGTTATCGCTGAGATTTTTTCATCCAAGATACTATCGACTACGGGCTATCTTTTGACACTTTTAAAAGTACTTCATTGTGGAAAAATTGTGATTGGCGCCATATTTCACTTTCAGAAGGCATACTCACGGATTTTGGGCAGCGTAGTCGGATCAGTGAGATCATATCCATTGAAAGTAGTCTCATTTGAAAGAGCACATCAAAATGCATTGAATGATGTTCTCAAAAGTTTGGCAGATTAAATTTTGGTTTAGAAGAAACCTTAACATTTTCATCAAAAATTTGCATCTGTAAAAAATTGACCTATCCGATATTTTTATTCTTTCATTAGTAGTAACTAGTGTTTTCTGAAAACTAACTAAGTTACATAATTTGATAGCACTTAAAATTCTCTACAAATTCATATACGAACATTGTGTGTTACATCTTTTTGTTAAGAAAATTTCTTGCACAATAAAGATGTTTTTCTTCTCTGATTCTGCTAAATAGAGATTTTGTATCCTTTTCTTTCAGCTTCTCATCGATATTTGAATAGAAAACACAAATTATTTCAGAGTCAAATGCATAGCGTAATAGAGCGTGAAATTCTCTATCATGGTATATACTAAAAACTGAATAGTGTCAAATCAAAAATATCAACTGACCCTAATCGAACCACTTTGCTCATGAGCATCAGTTTCTTGAAGTTGTAGAGCCAAAAAATCATGTTCTATGGGCAGATCTTAAGGTCTCCACAGACCAAAAACAAGAACACAAAAGTTCACTTAGGGAAGGCTAATGGTTTGGCAGAGGGATGCAAAAGGCATATACAGAGTTTTCAAAAAAACGTGATCAATATGACAGAATATGCCAACTGCTGAGTATTTTTAACCACGCAATCATTCTCTGAAGTAAAACATATCGGCTTCCTCTCAAAACATTAAAGCATATCGATTTCTTCACAAAGTATTAAAACATATCGATTTCTTCACACAATATTAAAACGTAAGCGATGAATGGAGTATGACAGTCTGAAAGTTTTTTTAAAAATTGCTTTATTTATTGTGACGCATTCGCGATGAGGCGCTGACCGTTTTATCTAATATAGTGCAATCTGTTCCAACGGACTTTTTACACGAGGATTAACAATACAAAAGACTGTTCGAAATCATGAGAGAAAGACAATAAGACAATAGTGAGTGATTGTCTTAGCTAAAAACAAAGTGACATAGATGATCGAAAAAGGTGTAACAGTCTTTATCGAGGAACCAGGACAAACGTTTGTTTGGTCTGCCTTTTGGCATTCTCTGTAGGTACGATTTAATTCGATAATGCTTATAAAGAATATTAAGCAGATGTTTATTTTGTAATACTGAGTCGATGAATATTAGTTCATACAATTGTATACATTTTATCCGTTTCGATATAACAGCCTGGAATAGATACAGGAGAAGTATGGTTAAAAAAAACTCTTATATAACCGTCGCGCGCAGTAACGAGAAGCATTTGTCTTGAAATGACTATTGTTTATATAAAAAAGCTTGATTTTTCTTTTTGTGTTTTAAGGCCAGTAAAAAATACCACGATATTCGAGTATCTCCAGTCCCAATTTGCTCTTTGACCTATGTTGGTTCTATATCAGGTTTGATTCAATAGAGAATTTCTACCTATAGCAAATGGAAATAAATTCAAGAAATACTCACTTATCCCCATTGAACTCATAATACATTAAAAATTGTTATCAGCCCAAATTCGCTTTGAAAACTGTATTGGATCTGAAACTTATTTTATTCGATGTAGACTTTTATTTTCAATCACACGATAGCATTTTAGATGGGATCAACAGACAAAAATTATGAGCCGGGCGGGTACCTGGGTGTGGATATATATGGGTGTGAATTTTATGAGACATGCGGTTACAATAGATTATCTGCAATACTTTCCGACTTATTTCATAATTTGTTGGCATTGCTTTGTCATTCCCAACATGAAACATTATCACCTACGCTCACACTCAGATATATATCCACATCCAGGTATCCACCCAACTCATCGTTTTGTGTCTGATGATCCCCATTTAAAATGATACTGTGCGGTAGAAAATGAAATTCTGTATCGAATAAAGACAGTTTCAGATCCCACACAGGTCTCAAAGTGCATTCGGACTGAAAATAGTGTTTATGTATTATCAGTTCAATGGGGAAAGTGTGTGTTTCTTGAATAAACCTCATTTTCTATCCGATAACCACCCCTCTTCTGAATTTATTTCCACTCGCTGGCAGAAGAAATTCTCTATTGAACACGACTAGTGTCCTGCATTGGTGTCCGAAACCCTATTCCGACTCCATCGGAGTCGGAATCAGAATTTAAAAAACAATTTCGGAGTCGGACTTGGAATTG